CGTGCGTTGTGTTACACTTTTATTATGTAAAGTAGAGTTTTATGTTTTTTATGTTTCTTTGAGCTGTAATTAAATGCGAGCGGACCTCACAGAAAACTTCAACATCTTTTTTTTAATGAAATATTTTGGAGTGAGGGAGACGAAAGGCAGAAATGTGGAGATGAATTACGATGCGAAGCTGCTTAGAACTCGGGAGGTTCAGTTCTTGCGTTTATGACCAAAGTCAGTTGAGTAAACCAGTTTTTTTTTGTGCCGTAGTCTGTGGAGAAAAAGAGACGGGTCTGGAAAATGCTCTTGAGGGACTTTCCGAGAATAATCGGCAGCGCAAAACGAAACACTGGATGAATGTGGAATTGGCGTTACTCCCTTTAAAGCTAAACGGTAGCCACATCTCCCTCTTCCAACAATGGGCAACTCTGAATTTTGTATTTTTGTTTTTATTGCGAATCTAATAATTTCCTTAAACAGCGTTAACCAGTTGATCTTTGTAATGGTGAAGTGTTGTGTTTTCTTCGCGGTACGGACTGGATTCTTAAATATTAATCAGACGAACTATGATTCTCATCGTAACCAGCGATTATTTCCTTAAACAGCGTCAACCAGTTGATCTTTGTAATGGTGAAGTGTCGTGTTTTCTTCGCGGTACGGACTGGATTCTTAAATATTAATCAGACGAACTATGATTCTCATCGTAACCAGCGATTATTTCTTAAACAGCGTTAACCAGTTGATCTTTGTAACGGTGAAGTGTTGTGTTTTCTTCGCGGTACGGGCCAAATCCTTAAAATACTGTCTAGAAGATCTTCGGCTTGCAAGGGTTAATTATTTATGTTGGCAGTGCTGAGGAACCAGTTTACTGATGCAGAGCCCTGAATTGCTTTCACCTGGCAGAATAAGCCGTAAACGGTACCCGGCTGTACTTGGCAGAACCACGCCTTTGCAATAAAGACGTTGCGACAGTTCGCATTGCAAGTAAGTTTTAAGATGGCCGTGTTCGCGGTTGTAGCACCGTGCAGTCTGGTAGAAGTTTACCGACGATCGCCCTGATGATGGATGCAGCAAAGACTTCTGAAACGTTGCCGAAAACTTCGCAACAACGCAGAAGAAAGCCTCCGACGACAATGAAACTTGGGGAATTTCGTGCGCCTAACGGACTTCAGGGTTTATAGGACCTCACGTGAGATGCGCGTTGAACCTTGAGGCGACGGATTGTGTGCGCGCGCACAGACAGAATCGCTTTGTTTCTGAGCTGATGCTGAGGAATGGGTGAACTTCTTTTGACATCCAAGGTCGTCGTTTCTTTATCAGCGGTTTTATTGACCTGTAGTCTGGGTGTATTGCACTTGACATGTACACGACAAGGCTGCTTCCCCTTACCCATAACACCATAAATACTTACAACTTCCATTGATAAGAACAGAGCATTAGAATCGTCTGTGTTATCAGCCCCGGGCGAATTGTTGGCGTAGTGCTCGGACGTTCGTGTCGACAAGTTTTGGAAGAGGATCCAGTATTATGGGAACCCGTATAAAACACAAATAGAGCGGAGTCACCCTGTTGATGGAGGCAGGAAGAACCTCCGAAACGTCGGTGAACTTGGACAAGACTGTGAAAAACGTCGAGATTGATGATTATGTTATTGTGACTTTTGGCGCCGTGTAGACTCATAGGTAGAACCGACGCTCTGAAGATGGAGACAGTATGTTTCGCCGAAACGTTAGTATCTACCTACGAGTCTACGAGAACATGATCTTCTACCAGAATACAGAAAATTGTTCTTAAAGATGAAGATGGGATGTAATACCGTATGCTCTGGCAGGTATTGGCCGACGTTTCGGAGAACGTGGAACAGCGAGACTTTTTTTTACAAGCGTAATGAACTTAATTGTAAATCCATGGACGGTGAGACGTGCTGGCCATGTAAGCGGATGCAGATGCGATGATAATTTTAAAATGGATCTCAAATAAGGCATGAGTCCGTGGATTGACCCCAGAATATGATCCATCCTTCTGATTCCATAACACCAGAGCATTTTTGGCCTGATTTGCTACTGTCAGTTTCTCACCGAGGTTTGTTGTCAGAGGCTTTTCCGCGCGTGGTAAAAATGTGGACGGTCGTTCGTTGCAAGTGTTAACATAAATCGGACGAGACAGTGTCCCCGTTGCGTCTGCAGTTAACTGTCGGTCTGTGACGTACAGAGACGCGTGTTACGTAACAATTACAGGGGCAGATAGCTTGAGGCGAGTGAAACCTGTTTCGCCGGGGAACTAACTCTCTTCGTGACTTGTTCGGAGAACTGACGCAACGCGTTAACCAGCCAAAGCGTCGGGCGTGTCCCCGATGTCGAGGTTGGAAACTTTCCTCTGGGTTGCCTGCAGGTGAGGACATGATCGAGCTTTGCCCCAGTGTGCGTGTAAGTCCCGTTGAAATTCACCTGCTGATGATTTATTTCGTTTCATCTCTCACCCCTTTTCGTCCATCGTTTTAGTTTCGTTTATAGCGTTAGAAACACTTTTAAAAGCTGCCTAATGGTGGCACCACTTGCTAAATAGACGAAACCCAGACGCTCGTCGTAGAAGTTGATTTTGCGCCGATGTTACGTTTTAAATTGTCGTTTTTCTAAGGCGGGTTTGATATGAACGACGTTTCGGGAGCAGTAACTTCGATCCCATCCGCCACCACAAATACTAAAATAAATACGCGGTAATTCAGTCCAAATTTTTTGCGCTGAGTTTATTTACGAATGCAATTTAATGTGAGGTAGGTCACCGTTAAACACCTGTTTTTACGTTGTACTGTCTCTTCCTTGTACACACATTTATTCTCTACGCTAACCGCTGAATATTATCATCTGTGCGTTTCATCACCTCCTCCTTAAAAAAAAGCAAGCAAACGAAACAGGAAATTTGTAATAACTGAGGAAAAGCGAGATTTTTTTTTTTGACCAAGGATCCCGTTTTTGTGTGATGGATGCTTCGTGTAGATGTGGGCTGTTGTAGTGAAGACGTTTCGGAGATAGTATGTCCATCATCAGTGCGAAGTGACTAACCCCGACAAACAGGAAGCTGATGGAGCCAGAATGCGCGGGAATCGAAAGACGATCGTTGAGTTCGTAGGCCGGCCGCATTTTTCGGCCAGGCGTCCCACGAGGAGAAACACCGGCTTGACGTGGGGCAGGTTACCTCGGTGGAGCGTCTGCATTTGCCGTCTCTCTTCGTCTGTCTGAATCGGAGTCCAGGATTCAAGGTTGCAGCAGGTGGGAGTACTGAAACCTGAAGACGGAGCACGTAGATTTTATAGAAACTGACAGTCACTCAGCTGGTCAGAACAGTCACGGTCTTTTGTTGTCATTTGTCGTGCTCGCAGGAGCCCGAGAACGTGACGGCTTGTACGTGCTCTTTTGTTTCCACCGTGTTGAATTACTTGCTTCTAAAAAGGCGTGTTCTTCTCCGCCTTTCCGATATTACTTTCAGAATTCAACAAATGTAAGACGCAGCTAACTTGAATATTTAGATTCACGCAGAAGGAATGGCCCACATTGTTGGATTTATGATTGTAATGTTGATATTAAATTGGGTTTAACGTATATTAAAGCATCACATTTAAGATATCGTCGATATGTACTTTGTATCTGAAGTGTTTATGAAAGTACCGCTTTAAGCGTTTAAAGACGAGTGGTAACTATGTGTACATCTGCTTTAACAATCCGTAACAATCTTTTGTATTTATGTGTTTCGTGTGATTCTCACTATAAACAGCGAGCATTTCCTTAATCAGCGTTAACCAGTTGATCTTTGAAATGGTGAAGAGTTGTGTTTTCTTCGCGGTACGGACTGAATTCTTAAATATTTTCTGCTTCAAAGGGTTAGATGTTTGCGTGTGTCGTGGGCGTCTTGCCATAAGCGGCATAACTCCTTGCATGAAGTGACAGTGTTATCAGTTGTCCGAAATAATTTATGCTCAGTTGTGGTTTTCGGATTTCGTGTGTGATTCCGCGCGGAGAAGAAAGTTTGGAAAATGCCGCTGTGTTTAGAGAGCCTTCATGATCGTGTGAATAGTTCTTCCTTGCATGGGACCCGTTGCAGTCCCGAAATGCAAAGGGTTTCCCCTGGCCTTCACGCCGCGGTGACGTAACACGTGTACTGCCTTCGCAGAAAACATTTATCCTGCTGTTTGTGAATGGAGAATATAATATTCCAAAGTCAAAAGTCGCATACTTACGTGAACTGGAAAAATCTCGATGTTGTTGGCCCATTTGTGCGCTTTCAGGGCCTGAAGCGTCAATGCAGTTTTGCGAGAATTACTTGCAGACGAGCAGAACGGTGTTGGCCGTGTGTAAGGTGTCTAACGATGTATTTTTGAAGCGATGGTTCAAGGTAAATCCGCGAATCCACGCGTCCTTTGTCTCCGGCCTCAAGCGTACAGCTGTTACCCAATTTGTCTCGCGTTAATCCTTTAAATGCAGTGGTAAGTGTATGTACCACAAGCCGTGGAAGAGCAAATGGGACTGGATGGTGTGGAAAGGTCTCAGTGCTGGCACGAGACAAGCAGAAGACATTCACAGCTCACACCGCCCAGTCGCGCTGAGTTCCGTATTTATCTCACGCAGCTGCAGAGATCCTAGTACATAAAGGGAAATCCCTGCCTCCAGAAATAAATCGCGTCCCATCACCTCAAAAGTACACGAGCCGAGACACGAACATGACCTTCAGAATCGGTTGTTGGAAATCTGCGATAAGAATTTTCGGAAGTAAAATTTCTATGAAAATATCCAAATGATATTGTAATAGGATTTGAGGTTTTCACGGCGATCTCTGTCCTCTGGGTTGCGCCGTGATATCTGGTAGAAGTTTACCGACGTTTCGGAGGACCTTGATGCCTTTATCTTCCCCGATGATAGAGGCAGCAAGGACCTCTCTCCACGAGTTCAGGAAGAGGTGTAAAGCTTTCGGGGGGGGGGGAAATACAAGATTGTTGATTGTGCTGTTTCGTGTTTCAGTGTTGAATCATAGAAGAACATTTTGGGCCCGCCATATTTGAAGAAATTTGCTTACCGTGCGCCCAGTTCCTGTTCAGAGGTAAGTGACACTTCGTGTGTAATTATGAGAGGCGTTTTGGACAGAATTAATATTTTAATTACTTTGTTGTTGTCGAAGTTGTTTTTGGAGCAATTCGATGCGACTTGACTTCTAGATCAGGACTCGCAGGTGTTATTCAAGTGTTTTTTTCTAGTCGGCCTTTCTTAGGTGGATAAATAATTAGGTCGTTTTTGTGTTGGCACTGAACAAGAAAGTTTTGCCTGTCTTTTGTTTTGGTGATTCTGATATTCAGCCATGTTACGAAGAGAGTGAGAACAATGGGTAATAATACGTCTTGTAAGAATGATACGAAGTAATTTCCTTGTTTTATATTTTAATGTTTTATACCATTTGCTTCGTGGAGTTCATTTTGTACATTTAATATCTTTCTTAAACCAATCTGAATATCGTAAGAGT